AAAATTAATGATTAATGCAACAAGTCATGCTTTTAGGCTTGCCTAAGCTCTGATTTAATAGCATCACAATGTGGCTCACGCATATTCCATGCTGTCACGTTATCTCTGTGTAATGATGAATGAGTGAAAAAAATCGACATGTAATAATGTCTATGACTGCTAATTTATACATACATATGCTGCAATTGATATTGATTACTCAACCCTGACCCTGGCCTTTTACTTGTATAAGAACTTGTGCCGTTTCAGTACATTGTTTTACTTATTGTTTTAATAGTAATATATTTGAATAACAATTCCTCTTAGTGAAACTTGTGGAATCCATTATTTTATAATTTGGTGAAATTTATCACATCTTGCTTGAAATAAATTTGCTGTTCATTGACATTATTACTTAATAGCACTTCCTTTGTGTCACAGTCACATGCAATTCACCACAACACTTCTCACTTTTCCTAATATTCTTGTCTCCTCTCTGTCTCTCTCTCTCTCATTACAGATGCTCTCATTAGCTCTTGTTGTTCACAGAGACTCGTGGCAGGTAATGATGATATTCATTATTATTTTACGTAGCTACATGTACATGTACGTGTATGTTGTACAATGTACATAGTTTGGAGTGCTTAATTTGGGTGAATTGCTGTGTGCCCATTGATCTCTTATTTAATCATAAAATCTTCTCTCTTTTCTCTCTCTTCCTTTCCTCCATAAAGGAATGACACACGAGTGATATGCATTGTGTTGGATTTGGTGACTGTTACGTTGGAGTGTGGCGTGAAGAGACTTGGGGACATTAAATCACTGAGAGTTCTCATGCAAGACAGACTCTGCCATCACTTACTTACTGTAAATGAGCAACTTTACGAAGTACGTATTTCAGTTTGTGTTAAATTGTATTTTGTTAGTTGCTTCAGAACGAATCTGTTGATGTTTTTGGTCGCTCTTTGACAAAGTGCTTTCTTCTTTTTGATTCAAATTGTCATCATCTCAAACTACAGCTGGAGGTAAAGAAAGAAACACATACATGTATGTGGATCATTAAATACTTCTCTCTCTCTCTCTCTCTGTCTCTCCCTCTCCCTCTCTCAGTGGTTCCTTAATAAGCTAATGCACACAATACAATTAGATCAGTCAAGACTTTAAGCAGGCAGACAAGAGCTAACATTAGAATGTCTCAATTCAAGTAAGAAAGAGTACATTTATGTACACGAGATTCGTGACAGTTTAATAAATTTTTATGTCTCTCTTTTCTTTAGTTTTGTCACATTCATAATTTTGTATCAGAGTTATATGTTAATTATGATTGCAGTACCTACTGTACTAACGTGTGCGAGAGACTGAGCAAACTACTTGCTAAGGTATGTCAGCCATCAGCTGTTATTAAGCTTAGCCAATTACCCTGTACTATAGTACGGGGTATTTTGCTAAATATTATTACAGCAAGCATTCCCCAGCTCTTATCACACGATATCATCAACCAACATAATTAGCAATGGAAACACTACTGGCAATGATACTGGCATTAGAATCAAC